ATGGGATGGCATCCATGGGGTGGGATATCTGGTGTGGGACACCTGGGGTGGGATCCAGGGTGAGCTGGGACCCCAAAACTGAGCCGGGATCCACAGACTGGGATTGGGATCCCAAAACTGGACTGGGACCTCTGGGCTGGACTGGGAAACTAAAACTGGACTGGGAAACTAAAACTGGACTGGGACCCCAGAACTGGACTGGGACCCCAAGACTGGACTGGGACTCCTGGGCTGGACTGGGAAACTAAAACTGGACTGGGAAACTAAAACTGGACTGGGAACTCAGGACTGGACTGGGACCCCAGAACTGTACTGGGACCCCAAAACTGGACTGGGACCCCAAAACTGGACTGGGACCTTGGGGACCCCAAAACTGGACTGGGACTCCAAGACTGAACTGGGACCCCAAGCTTGGACTGGGACCTGAAGACTGAAGTGGGACCCCAAGACTGGCCCGGGACCCCAGAACTGGACTGGGACCTCTGGACTGGACTGGGAACCCAAGACTGGACTGGGGCCCCAAAACTGGCCCGGGACCCCAAGACTGGACTGGGACCCCAAGCCTGGACTGGGACCCCAAGACTGAAGTGGGACCCCAAGACTGAAGTGGGACCCCAAGACTGGCCCGGGAGCCCAAGACTGGCCCGGGAGCCCAGTTCAGCAGCGGACTGACCCCCCCCAGTTTCAGTGTCCCCCGTGTCCCCCCCGGGTGTCCCCAGGCCAGGTGCAGAGCCGCGAGTGCATCGAGGAAGTGATCAAATTCGCCTACGACGAGAAACTTTTCCTCATGGCCGACGAGGTGGGCGGGGTCACCCGGCCGTGTGTGTCCCCCTCCCCACCCATTTTCCCGGGAAAAGCCTTGGAATTGTGGGTGACGTCCCCCCAGGTGTACCAGGACAACGTGTACGCCGAGGGCTCGGCCTTCCACTCCTTCAAGAAGGTCCTGATGGAGCTGGGGCCGCCCTACTCGGAGGAGGTGGAGTTGGCCTCCTTCCACTCCATCTCCAAGGGATTCATGGGAGAGTGAGTGCTGGGAATGCCGGGAGCCGCCCCTCCTGGCTCCCGTGGGATCCCCGGGGTGGGGGGAGGTGACACCGGCCTGTGGATGTCGTGGATTGGGGACATGGATTTTCATGGATTGGGGACATGGATTTTCATGGATGTCATGGGTTGGGGACTGAGGTGCCACCACCCTGTGAATCCCCTGGGGTTGGGGACATGGATTTTCATGGATGTCATGGATTGGGATCATGGATTTTTCATGGATTGGGGACATGGATGTCATGGATGTCATGGATTGGGGATGGAGGTGCCACCACCCCATGGATGTCATGGATTGGGACCATGGATTTTCATGGATTGGGGTCATGGATGTCATTGATTGGGGATGGAGGTGCCACCACCCCATGGATGTTGTGGATTGGGACCATGGATGTCATGGATTGGGGTCAGGGATGTCATGGATTGGGGCCATGGATGTCATGGATTGGGGTCAGGGACATTGGATACAGATGTGGAGATTCCATGGATGTCATGTGTGCTCCATGGGTTCCCATCCATGGATCCCATCCATAGATTCCAATCCATGGATCCCATCCCAAAACCCCACCCATGGGTTCCCATCCATGGATCCCATCCATAGATTCCAATCCATGGATCCCACTCATGGAATCCCATCCCAAACCCCCATCCCAAACTCCCATCCATGGATCCCATCCCAAATCCCCATCCCAGATCCCCACCCATAGGTTCCATCCATGGATTCCATCCCAAACTCCCAAATCCGCACCCATGGCTCCCATCCCAAACCCCCACCCATGGCTCCCACCCCAAACCCCCACCCATGGCTCCCATCCCAAACCCCCACTCATGGCTCCCACCCCAAACCCCCACCCATGGGTTCCCACCCCAAACCCCCACCCGTGGGTGCCCACGGCGGGTGCCGGGTGCCGACTGGTGGCCGTGGGGCAGGTGTGGCCTGCGGGGCGGCTACGTGGAGGTGGTGAACCTGCACCCCGAGGTGAAGGCGCAGCTGGCGAAGCTCGTGTCGGTGCGGCTGTGCCCGCCCGTGCCCGGACAGCTGGTGATGGACGCCGTCATGGACCCGCCCAAACCCGGGGAGCCCAGCTACGAGAGATTCCAGGCGGTATGGGATCCCTGGGATCTATGGGATCTATGGGATCTGTGGGATTGGGATCTATGGGATTGGGATTGGGATCTATGGTCATGGACCCGCCCAAACCCGGGGAGCCCAGCTACGAGAGATTCCAGGCGGTATGGGATCCCTGGGATCCGTGGGATCCGTGGGATTGGGATCCATGGGATCTATGGGATCTGTGGGATCATTGGGATCTGTGGGATTGGGAACAATGGGATCAATGGAATTGGGATCAATGGTCATGGACCCGCCCAAACCCGGGGAGGCCAGCTACGAGAGATTCCAGGCGGTGTGGGATCCGTGGGATCCAGGGGATCTATGGGATCTATGGGATCCATGGGATCTATGGGATTGGGATCAATGGGATTGGGATCCATGGGATCAATGGGATCTATGGGATCTGTGGGATCCATGGGATCTATGGGATCAATGGGATCTATGGGATCCATGGGATCCATGGGATTGGGATCCATGGGATCCATGGGATCTATGGGATCTATGGGATTGGGATTGGAATTGAGATTGGGATGAACTGGGATGAACTGGGACAGAATTCCCATCCCTGGATCCCCCTGCAGGAGAAGGAGGCTGTGCTGGGCACGCTGGGAGGATGGGATTGGGATTGGGATTAGGATTGGGATTGGGATTAGGATTATGATTGGGATAGGGATTGGGATTAGGATTGGGATTAGGATTATGGTTGGGATTAGGATTAGGATTACAGTTGGGATTGGGATTAGGATTAGGATTGTGGTTAGGATTGGGATTAGGATTATGGTTGGGATTAGGATTTGGATTAGGATTATGGTTGGGATTAGGATTGGGATTGGGATTAGGATTGGGATTAGGATTAGGACTGGGATTAGGGTCGGGACTAGGATTGGGATT